TTATAGTCTGTGATGTTACATTTACATAAAAAAAGCTCAGTACAAAACCTGCACATCTGACAAATAGCATTACATTTGCTGAGGACAACAGTTAGTCCTTGTTGTATCATAATTGTTAAGTTCATTATGAGAACACATAGTTAAAAAAATACTAAGAAAGAAAATCCGAAACCCTGCCTGCACTTTAAACTTCATACCATGTGTTGTGCTATACATCAAACGTATGCCGGCATAACAACAGTAACTAAGAGGAGCAGGTCTTCTCTTTGTTTTAGTTATAAGAACAGCTTGTTGCACAGGGCATGTTAGCACTTGTAGAAACAAATCAGGGCTGCTAGCGATGAAGTGATGAAACAGATGAAAGGATGAAGGGTGGGGTGGTGGTCAGGGGGGGGAAATAGGAAAACAAAGAAGGGGCACGCTGTGTACCGTATGTTTAGCCTTTGCTCAGGAAGTGAGGGAATAGTCAGAGAAGAGAACGCTGACACTCACCTCCTTGCTTACTCCTGTCAAGATAGATGGAGACCCTTCGTGCCAGACCTGCGAGCGGGGGACGGAGGAGGAGGGCAGAGAGGAAGGAGAGCGGGAAAGCAAAGCAAGCAAAACATTAGCAAAGAACCCCCCTGTGCATGCAGACCCACACCTCTGCATCACAAAGAGGGGCTGTGGAAGCTGCACAGGACCCCCAACCTCCACACCTGCAGGACACCGAACGTCACTCCCTTCCCCACAGACAGAGGTGGTTAAGTACTCAGATCCTGTACTTAAAGTGGCCCTATTCTGCTGATTTTCATGTTCTTATTAGTATTTAGTGCCTCTACTACATGTCTCAATGCTTTGATGTTTGGGGTTTTAGCCTGTGCAGACCATTTACATGCACACAAACCTATACAACACACTACAGGGAAGGGAAAACCCCAGTACATAATAGGGCCTCTTTATGTAGTAAAAGTTCAACATTTTTACCATTGAAAAATTCAACGGGCTCATTCTGCACAATTGCTGTATTTCAATAACATAAAGTATTAGAATCCAAAAGTACTTAAAGTATCAGTACCCAGAATGCAGATGGCTCTTTCAAAGTATTGTATTAATAAAGAATATGGACAAGCATTCTAATATTGTAGTTTGTCAATTTGGAGCCGATTTGAGAGAAAATACACAATTGATAAGTAGTACTGCATCTTGTGTATTTATATATAAAAATAAACTAGTTAATATGATTGTCAAATAAACGTAATGGAGAAAGAAGTTGAAAATTGACTCTCAAATGTAGTGGAGTAGTAGTATAAAGTGATATTAAATGGAAATACTCAAGTAAAGTAAAATTATCCCAAAATAAGTAATGTACTTAAGTAAATGTACTTAGTTACTGTCCACCGCTGCCCACAGGGGGCGCAGCAGGCCGGGTGAAGACAATCTGCATGTTTGTGTGTTGTCATGAAAGTTTGGACGAGTTGGAATAAAGAAAAATACCTAAATTAAAATAATTTAACTGGTTTGAAGGTGTGCTAATTCAATAAAGACGTTAATTCTATCACTGAAAACGACCAGCAATAGAAAGATTTGTTGTTGCGGCAGTCGGGAAAACTGCTCGCTGCCTTGTTCATCCTCCCTCAAGGTGAGGGGAAAAACACAAAACAATGTCAAAGAATGGGCAAAGAAACAAGCCAGACGAGCACAGGCAGTACAGAGAGGGTCACTGATGAAGAACAGGAGGAAAACCTGTTGTTGGACCACAGGGACATTATTAATGCCTCTGAGGCAATGCAAGGAATGGAAGAAGAAAAAAAAAACACAAGCTCATAATAATTGTGCTCTATCTGGGAGATGTTTTTAAGCATTGGTCATAACTCTAAACTGATTATGGATCCAGGATGTGGGGAGATGGTGTTTGGGGATGTTTGTGTTAGATTGCAGTTTTTTGCTAACTGTAAAAACAACATTTGAACCCCTGAATTTGAAGCTTGACTCTTCAGTGAAAGCTTCTCGGTGGAGCGGCTGTTTATTAAAATTGATGGCTCATCTGCAGGCGGACAGAGACTGTCACCAACGACACTTCCAGGATAACGAGCGCGCCATTAAATGTTACATCTCGCTGCGGGAGAGTCCTCCGCAGGGGAGAGTCTCTCGGGGCCGATGGGTGGTGAAAGTCAGATGGACAGGCTGCTAGTTAAGGGTATCGTCTATCTGCGGCCCCCCAACAGACTGTGACTGTGTGGCTCTGCAGTGATGTAAGACACACACACCTCTCTGTTCAGATAGACATTTAAACAGAGCCTGACTCTAGGCTCTCAATTTTCCCAATTAGCTAAAAAAGTACGTGTTTTTCTCTCTTTAAGGATGTTATGTCCGTCAGTTAGGAGGATCATTTCTGATTTCTGAGAAACATTGTGGAAAGGGAGCTTTAGCCAAGCAAGAACAGATTATGTTTACATTTTGATAACATTTGCGGACATTACTATTTTATACTCTGTAAAATGTGTAACTATGTACATTTACATTTAATCTTATCTAACAGTCACTTTTCATTGCTTATTTATTTTTCTATTTATTTGATTGCAGTGAGTGACGCTTGTGAAATGCGGCTATACCTACAGTATGACGGAGTTGGCATATGTGATCCCGGCGAGGCTGACAACAAGTTGGATCCTGTTATTTTTGACTGATCAATGTTCATCCAGACAACTGACAAAAAATAAAGAGCTGCCCACGTTGTGTCAAAAATAATCTACAACAGTGTGGAAGCAGAGTTCCATTTATATCTCACGTTTCATTTCATTGCATCAGGTCAGATCAGTTTTTGTAAAAGAACATACTCTCATGCTCTCTCCTAGATTTTACAATACGACTGTTTGCATCAGTTCAAACTTCTCTGGGCAATTTTCTGAATCTAAATATTTTACTGCTGTGAGGGAGGGATTTATTATGGGGTTGCTGATTACATGACATGACATTCATGTCATGTGTTTAAAGTGTCTGCCATTTAAAAACAATAATTTGTGTCCTTTTTAACTTTATATTGTCATTCAAGTTTAAAAACTTCAACTAATGAAATTAACAAAGCTCAATTATTGTCATAACTGTTTTAGACGGACCTTATTTCAAATCATTGCAAAAGTAGTTTTTCAACAGTTGAGTAATCTCTTGCATTTAAATAACTGTTTGGATGTGTTCCAGTCAGGCTTTCGACCACACCACAGCACAGTGGCAGAACTTCAGTGTTAGTATTATTAGATCTCAGTGCTGCGTTTGATACTGTTTACCACAACATAGTACAAGACCAGGGGTCTGCAACCTTTTTGACCAAAAGAGCCATTTTGCTCCTTTTTCCAAAAAAATGTTTTTGTCTGGAGCCGCAAAACATATTTCATAGCTTGATAGCTAATAAAGTTGTATTTATTGTTATATCAGACAAAAACTACAGTTTTTTTTGCATTTATTAGGCTATTTATTACATTATATAAAACTGTTAACCTCTAATAAGAAACAAAGAACTCCTATAAGGAGAATTAAAAATAATACACAGGCCTACTTTAAAATAAATTAAACACAGCACTTGGGGAGTCCTCTGCACATTTGAAGGAAAAAAAATATTATTAAAATGGGCCCACTTTGAAATAAATAAAACATATAGCTGCACCCTAAAAATAGTTAAAGGTAGGGTAGGTAAGAATGGAGAAACCAGCTCGAGTGCGCTAGAATTTGAAAATACACAACCGGAAAAAATATGCGTCTTCCTTCAGACTTCCTCACAGAGCCCCTCCTCCAACACACACGAACGCGCACATGACCGATGAGGGCACGAGATAAATGTGTGCACAGATGGAAGGCTGACAGGCAGGTAGGCCATCCAGTTATTTTAGCCGGGCCGGCTAAAATGATTGGTCGTGCTTTTTACAGTACTACGGCTTCCAGAGATTAATTTTTTTATGGATTTTTTGTCAAAGCACTTAAGATATTCATTGCTATCGTGATGTTAAGAGCATTCCATGGAATATAACAAAAAGTGTATCTCGAGCCGGTTTCTCAAACTTACCTACCCCACCTTTAATGATGACATATGCACAGCTGTATCCCCTCTCATCGGGCTTAACTGAATAACCCTTTAGAACCGGCCCATTTCCATTTGTTGTTAAATATTTATTTAAATGAATGAATCTTTCTCTTGTTAGTCAAGGAATTCAATGTATGATGGTTGGTCCTACACAAAAGCAGGACCAACCATCATACATTGAATTCCTTGACTAACAAGAGAAAGATTCATTCATTTAAATAAATATTTAACAACAAATGGAAATGGGCCGGTTCTAAAGNAGAGGAAGTAAAGAGACACGTAACTCTGGATTTTTTTTTATGTTTGAGGTGCAATAAGCGACACAGCAGCTTTTTGGCATGTAAAAACTCATATTTTCTGCCTCGCACATGAGAGTAACAGCTGGCGAAATTACAACCTCACCTACTGATTTCAAATGTGTGCTCTAAAATGATATTTATAAATGATTATTATCATTATTATAAGCAAGACAATAAATGGCAAAGATATGTAGAAAATAAACGCATTTAAGATACGTTCATGAGTAACGTAACGTGGGAGAAAGTATGTTTCTTGAAGATATGTAGAAAATAAACGTATTTGAGATACGTTCATAAGAAACGTAACGTGGGAGAAAATACGTTTCTAGCTAAACGTAATTGAAAATGCAGTTTAGTTCTGTGGGAACGTAATTTTTAGGAGACAGGGTTGAAGAAAACCGACAACTGGAAGATGAGTGGAAAAGCGTCACATAAAATGTATAATGTATACATTTTGTATAATGTATAATAAATGTATAAGTGCTCACAGCTCCGTGGGAATTATTATGTGCAATTCATTTCTAAAAGGTTTTCACATTACTATAATTATATTTTA